CCCGCCTTGGCCTCCCAGAGTGCTAGGATTACAGGCGTGGGCCACCGTGCCCGGCCTAGGGAGAAGTATTTTTTAAAAAGTCCTTGAGCTGGCTGAGGTAGAACTATGAGTTGCAGGTGCCCCAGTACATGAGTGTTTGAGAAGGACACTGTCCTCTTCAACATTCCATATCTCCTCTCCCAGTACCAAATGGTGAAGGGAATAGAAAATGGCACTGAGATAACCAAACTATAGAAATAGTCTATGATGCCAGGCCTTCCCTGCATTTCAGTCGCTTTGTTTATATTTTGCCCCCTTTAACATCTTAGGGACAAAGTAGGAACAGATCTTTAACTGGCCATCTCAAGGACAAACACCCACTGCTGCTACTCCCTGGGAGGAAGAAGAGCCTGTTGTCCCCAGTGGCTCTGCCTGTTGTGCCAGCCACCCTTGAAGGTTTGGGGTTATCTGAGGAGTCTGTATTTCTCCTATCTTGTCTCCTGTTTTCTGTACTTAAGCTACAGGAGCTTGTCCTTGTAGAACAGTAGGACCACTGACTAAAGGAACAGAATGTTCTGGATGCCTACTTTAGCCAGCCTGAGCCACATGGTTGTGTACAGCCACCTTGATTTGCAGCCCAGGCATGCCCGTAACACTGGAGAATCATCTGCAGCCCTAGAGAAATGGTACCTTGGAACCATTTTCCTTTTTCCCTTGAGCCTCCTGCCTCCCTGTGTCAGCTTTTTCAAGAAATGAAAATGGAATCCTTCCAATGTGTTGTTTTCATTTCCGTCACTCCCCACACAAACTTTAATTTCCTCCCTTTTTAGCTTTGCTAGGAAGCAAAGCTTAAGCAGAATTTAGGCAATCATTTCCCAGAAGCCATTTATATACCAGCATGACTCCCACCTTTGTTCTGTGTCCACACCCTTTGGTGGCACCTCACAAAATCTCCTATGTGTCTGTCAGGACAGGACAAAATGGGGTAAGGAAGCCAATAGGGCCCAAGGTTCCCAATCAGTAGGAATGATTTTAGTAAACTGGGCAAGTAGTTCTAGCCTCAGAAATGCTGGCCTCGGGCTTGGAGTGTAGCCCCCCATTCCTGGGAGGCCTTTGCTGTGGTGCTCAGGAGGCCCACTAGGCAGGGGGGCAGGCGCTGGGGCCAGCCCACACCACCCAGGACGGGCAGAAACAGGCCATAGCTCTCTGTGGGTTTTTGCCCTTTGTCGGGATAAACCAGGGAACAAACCAACCAAATCTCCTTCAGAGAAGATGGTACACACCTGAAAACGTATTGATTTAGTTTACTGAGCACTTCGTTCCATAAAACTCTGTGTGAAGATGTGCAGAGAGGCACCTGGGGTGGCAAGTAAAAGCTGTACGAGGAGCTAAATGAGGAGCTGTAGAGTGTAAAGAGAGTTTTGTACTCTGCGACAGTCAGACGTCACAGAACCATCTCCCTTCGACATCTCAGAACCCAGTGTGCTGAAGGATGCTGGGATTGTTTTTTTTTTTTTTTTTTCCTTTTTCCCCAGCCAATTATGTGGGAGGTTTTTTCAGAGGCGAAAACAACTTTGTCTTCCCAAAAGACAAACCCTCGATTTTGCTTTATGAGGCAGATAGCAAGATGCTGGAATTTCTTCTCCTCTCCTGTTTCGAGCCATTCTAGCTTTAAGGAAGTTGGACACCTCTCTGAGGGAAGGGCTATTCGTACCAAGACACACTGCCTCAACTCTCTGACCTTCTTCTCTCTTGCACCACTGTGCTGTTTTTATCTGTAGCACTCGCTGCATGTCTCCCAGAGGTGGAACTGCCCTACAAAGGCAGGCCTGTCCTTTCTGTGAACCTGGGGACTAGGATGCTGCTCGACCACCTTGGCCTCTGAGATTTGGTCTGGGACCATGTGGGTGGCTCACTGGTTGTGTCGTGGCCAGTCAAGGGCCGAGGTGTCCTGTGCAGATCTGCTCATGAGCATTTGAGGGAGACTGGATCTCCTATGAGGACAGACAGTGCCCCTTTAAACTCACAAATTTCAGTTCTCAGCATCAGTCAGTTTTTAGAACAAGGCAGCTCAGAAATACAAAAACAATGAACACTTCTGTAGTGCTTTTAATCTACCAGGCACTATAGTAAGTGATTACCTGCTTTAACTCATTCAAACCCCACAGTCACCCCTGAATTAGGCAATGTCTTTATCTGCATCTTAAAGAGGAAAGAGAAACAAAGAGGTTCTAACTTACCAGAAGTCACAGAACCAATCAGTGTTGGAAGTCAGAGTTGAACACAGAAGTCTAGGTCCAGTGCGTTCTCTTGACCCCTGGGTTGTACTGCTTGTCACAAGCTGTAAATTTTTAGGGCACTGAACATTTAGGGAGGGCATGTGAGGGGGAGGGTAAGCTAGAAGTAAGAGATGTCACCCCCTGCCCCCTCCCACTTCATTCCCTGCCCTCTCTTCCCGAATAGGTTATCCCCCTCCTGATGGCTTCACCTCTTGCTGCAGGTAGTGTTTTCTCTGCCCCACCCCTTAGCCACAGGGGATTTACCTGTGACTTGTGGGCACTAGTCCTAATGATGCTGCCTCAACCAAGGCTGATCACAGCCTTCCTTGGCATTGTGGCACCAGAATAGGAGGAGACAAGACAAAGACTCCTCTCCCGTGTGGCAGGGGAGATGTGTGGATGGGAGCCCAGAGCTGCCTACAGGTCCCAACTCCCGGAGAAGCCAGGCCAAGGCAAGGACACAGAGAGAGCGGCCCAGGCAGTCAGCACTGCAGTCACTCCCAAGTCTCGGCCGTTCGTCTCCTGCTCCTCATTCTTGAGCTTCCCCAGAATCCCTCTAATAAATTCTCTTTTTGCTTTGCCCCAGTGTGCGTTCAGTTTCTGTTACTTGCCACTAGAAGAATAGAGTGATAGAGGTGCTCAACTCACTTAGGACTCTCTCCCTGCTGTGGTCCCAGTTGAAATCCTCAGTTGTCACCTGGAATACTGGAGCAGGGTCAGTGGACTGGGCTCCTCCAGTCCCTCTCCCTCCCACCCAGCAGGAGTGTGCTGTGATCCTCTGCTGCCGTAGGCATGCACACTTGGCGTGCACCCAGTAAATTGAGTTGTGTCATTCTGCTGCCTGAACCCCTCCCAAGCCCAGTGAGGCTATTAGGACCTTTACTCTCTGCCCCAGCTTCGTCTGTCCGGGGTCGTCAGGCTTTTAGCTCCCTCTGCTCCCTCTGCCTCAAACACTCTCTGGGAAACAGCCTGTCAGACTTCAGGATTCCCGGGGAGGGCCACCCCACCCCATGCCCCCTGTTTTTCTACAGACCCATGTAAGTACTCCCAGTAGACCTGTGCTGATTGCATTTGAACGACTTGGGAAACAGCCTGGGCAGTGCTAGAACACAGCCTTGGTAGACCACAGTGTCGTAATAGCTGGCCCTGCCTGTCCTAGCCAATTAGGACGGATTTCCTGCCTGATGGACTTTGCTGAGCTTCCTCAGCTGTGAAAATGGGGGTGGTGCTCACAGGGTGGCTATCGGAGCATTATGGAAAGTTCTGAGTATAGCACTTAATGAATTTGTCCACCCTCCCTGCCTCACTCTTTGTCCTATGGATGTCTGTAGCACCACTGAGCGGGAGCTCTACGTTGGGCCCTACCGCCCAGCTCCATGCTGGTCCACGGCAGGGGCAACACATTTACGTCAAGCGTATGAAGAAACAAACAGGCAGCATTGGGTGAATTTGAACAGAACTACATCAAGGAAGAATGGCGTCGGATCTCCTCTGCTCTCAAGGTTCTTTTCTCTTCCCCTAGAATGTGCAAAAGTCTTCTATGCTGCAGGCGCTAAGCTGGTGCTCTGTGGCCGGAATGGGGAGGCCCTAGAAGAGCTTACCAGAGAACTCAACACTTCTCCTGCCACCAAGGTGAGCCCAGGGGCATGTTTTCCGTGGGAAAGGGGTGCAGTCCATCTTTTCAGGTAGGCACCTAAAGAGAGAGTGGCCTACTCCTGGCCTCCTGGGTTGCAGAATGGCCATGTGTCACACGGCCCATGGGAAAGCAGCAGGTCTCCACAGCACACTGGGCCCACTGCCTGAGAAAGGAGAACTGTCCTGGTTTACGTCCTGACGCCACCATTCCTGGCGCTGAGTTTAGGAAGCGCCCTGTGTGGAGACTGCTCTCCCGCCTCCACTTAGCCAGCTAAGCTCTACTCATTGGGTGGGAGTGGCGTTTGGCGATAACTTTTACATTTTTAATTGTCATAAAATATATATAATATTGACCATTTTAACCATTTGTAAGTGTACAATTTAGTGGTGTTAAATGCATCAATGATGTGTGCAACTATTACCACTATACCAAAATTTTTCTACCCAAAACTTTTTCAACATCCCCAACAAAAATTCTGTACTTGTTAAGCAGTAACTCCCTTTCCCCTTCTTCTCAGTCCCTGGAAACCTCTCTTCCACTTTCTGTCCCTATGAATGTGCCTACTCTAGGTGCCTCATGTAAGGGGAAGCATACAGTGCTTGCCTCTGTGTCTGGCTCATTCCATTTAGCTTAACGTCTTTAAGACTCATTTACGTTGTAGCATGAATCAGAATTTCCTTCCTTTTAAAGGCTGAATAATATTTCGCTGTATGTATACACTGCATTTTGTTTATTCATTCGTCAGTCAGTGGACACTTGGGTTGTTTCCGCCTTTCGGCCGTTGTGAATAGTGCCGCTGCTGTGAACACCAGCGTGCAAGTGTGCGTCTGCATCGCTGCTTTCATTCTTTAGGATATACTCTTCGGAGTGGAATTGCTAGATGACTGCTAGTTCTGTGTTTAACCTTTTCAGGAACTGCCAAACTGTTTCCACAGCAGCTGTACCATTTTACATTCCCACCAGCAATGGAGTGTTCCAGTTTCTCCACATCATCCCCAACACCTGCTGTTTTTTGAGTTTGTTTTTTTCAAATTATACCTGTCTTAGGAGATGTGAAGTGATATTTCATTGTGGTTTTGATTTGCTTTTCCCTATTTCCAAATGATGTTGAGCATCTTTTCATGTGCTTCTCGGCCATTTATAGATTTATAGATAATAGAAATGTCTATTCAAGACCTTTGTCCATTTTTCAATCAGGTTTTTTGTTGTTGTTGTTGAGTTTAAGAGTTCTTTATGTATTCTGGATATTAATCCCTTATCAGATATATGATTTGCAAATATTTTCTCCCATTCAGTAGATCGTCTTTTCATTTTCTTGGTAGTACCCTTTGACATACTTTAAAAGTCTTAAATTTATCTGTTTTTCTTTTGTTTGTCTGTGCTTTTGGTGTCATACCCGTGAGGTTGTTGCCAAATCCAATGTTATGAAGATTTTTCTCCAGCGTTTTCTTCTACGAGTTTTATAGTTTCAACCCTTACATTTTGATCATTAATCTATTTGATATAATTTTTATATATGGTATTAGATAATAGTCCAACTTCAGTTATCTAATTTTCCCAGCACCATTTTTTGAATACTGTCCTTTCCTCATTGAATGAGCACAAATCCATTGGTTGTATATTTGAAGGGTTTATTTCTGGGCTCTTTATTCAGTTGGTCTCTAAGTCTGTCTTATGTCAGTACCCACTATATACTGTTTTAATTACTGGGGGTTTGTAGTAAGTTTCAAAGTCAAGAAGTATAAGACCTCTATGTTCTTTTTCAGGATTGTTTTGGCTATTCAGGGCCCACTGCAATGCCTATGAATTTTAAGATTTTTTTTCTATTTCTGCAAAAAACGCCATTGGGATTTTGCTATGGGAATAGCACTGAACCCATGGATCACTTTGGGTAGTACTGTCAACTCACAATATGGTCTTCTAATCCATGAACATGGGATTTCCATGTATTTGTATCTTCTTTCTTTTTCTTTTTTTTTTTAACCTCCCTGCCTCCCTTCTTTAATTTCTATCAGCAATGTTTTGTAGTCTTCAGTGTACAAATCTTTCACCTCCTTGGTTAGATTTATTCCTAAGTATATTTGTCTTGGTCTGTTTTGTGCTGTTATAACAGAATGCCAGAGACTGGGTAATTTTCAAAGAAATCTATTTCTCACAGTCTGGAGGCTGGGAAGTCCAAGATCAAGGTACCTGTACCTGGTCAAGGCCTTCTTGCTGCGTCATAACATGACAGAAGTCATCACACAGGAAAGCGAGAGAGAGAGGGAAGGGGCTGAACTCATAATTTTATAAGGAAACCACTCCCACAATAATGGCATTAATACATTCATGAAGTTCCCATTTCTCAACTCTGTTGCACTGGGGATTAAGTTTCCAACACATGAGTTTTGGGGGATACATTCAAACCACAGCAGTGTTTAATTCTTTTAACTGCTTTTGTAAATAGAATTGCTTTCCTAATTTCCTTTTCAGATTAGATTATTCATTGATCATGTATAGAAACACAACTGATTTTTGTGTGTTGATCTAGTACCCTGCATCTTTACTCAATTAGTTAATTAACTCTTAATAGCTTTCTGTGGATTCAGTGGGATTTTCTATATATAGAATTATGTCATCTGCAAACAGTTTTACTTTTTCCTTTCCAATTTGGGTGACTTTTATTTCTTTTTCTTGTCTAATTGTTATGGTTAGAACTTCCAGTACAATGTTGAGTAGCTGTTGTGAAAGGAGGCATTCTTGTCTTGTTCCTGATCTTAGAGGGAAAGCTTTCAGTCTTTCACAATTATGTTATGTGGGTTTTTCATAAACAACCTTTGCCATGTTGAAGAATTTCCTATTCCTAGTTTATTGAGTGTTTTTTTAATCATGAAAAGGGTGTTGGATTTTGTCAAATCTCTACTGTGTCAACTGAGATAATCATGTGGTTTTTTCCCTTCTGTTAATGTGATGTATTATAATAATTGCTTTTCTTATGTTGAACCACCCTTGCATTCCTGGGATAAATCTCACTTGTTCATGGTGAATAATCCTTTTACTATGCGGTGAATCCAATTTGCTAGTATTTTGATGAATATTTTTACATCTATATTCATAAGGAATATTGGTCTATAATTTTCTTGTGATATCTTTATCTGGCTTTGATATCGAAGTAATGTTGGCCTCACAGAATGAATAAAGAAGTGTTTTCTCTCTTCAATTTTTTATAAAAGCATGAGAAGGATTGGTGTTAATTCTTTGTTTTGTAGAATTCAACATGAAACCATGTAGTCTAGGATTTTTCTTTGTTGGGAGGTTTTTGATTACTGATTCAATCTCTTTACCTGTTCTAGGTCTCCTGAGATTTCCTATTTCTTGCGTCAGTTTAGGTAATTTGTGTGTTTCAAGGGATTTGTCCATTTCTTCTTATCGAACATGTTGGCATGTAATAGTATTCTCTTGTAATCATTTTTGTGTCTGTAAGTTTGGTATTAATGTCCTCACTTTCATTTCTTTTTTTTTTTTTTTTTTGAGACAGAGTCTGGCTCTGTCGCCCAGCCTAGAGTGCCATGGTGTCCGCCTAGCTCACAGCAACCTCAAACTCCTGGGCTCAAGCAATCCTCCTGCCTCAGCCCCCCAAGTAGCTGGGACTACAGGCATGCGCCACCATGCCCGGCTAATTTTTTATATATATTTTTAGTTGTCCAATTAATTTCTTTCTAATTTTAGTAGAGACGGGGTCTCGATCTTGCTCAGGCTGGTCTCGAACTCCTGAGCTCAAACGATCCGCTCGCCTTGGCCTCCCAGAGTGCTGGGATTACAGGCGTGAGCCACTGCGCCCCGCCCTCACTTTCATTTCTAATTTTAGTTATTTGTCTTTTCTCTTTTTTCCTTGTTAGTCAGCTAATGGTTTCTCAATTTTGTTGATCTTTTCAAAGAACCAACTTTTGGTTTCATTGATTTTTCTCTATTGTTTTTCTATTGACTGCTTTATTTATCTCTGTTCTAACTTTTATTATTTCCTGACTCTGCTGGCTTTGGGTTCAGTGTGCTATTCTTTTTGTAGTTCCTTAAAGTGTAAAGGTACATTATTGATTTGAGCCTAAGGGGTCTGTGGGACACACAGCTCATGTGGCCAGTCACTCAGAAGGTATGTTTGGTGGCCACTGTATTTGACCAGGTGCAGACACACAAGCCTTACACAGTGACCTTCGACCTCGCAGACCCTGGGGCCATAGTTGCAGCAGCAGCTGAGATCCTGCAGTGCTTTGGCCACGTGGACATACTTGTCAACAATGCTGGGATCAGCTACCGTGGTGCCATCATGGACACCACACTGGATGTGGACAAGAGGGTCATGGAGACAAACTACTTTGGCCCAGTTGCTCTAACGAAAGGTAACAGTATTGGATTTAATGAAAAGAGAGCACTTAGCATTGTTTTTAATTCCCTCAGTTCCTTTTCAGCTAAATGTTCTGTCTGCATCCTCTGCCGTACTTTGGAATAGGTGCTGTTACAGTTTGGGTGCTCCCTTTATCTGCTTTATAGCTTCAAATCAAGATGTTCCCAGTGACAGCCTCAATGGATGGCATTGCCTGCATTTCCTTTTCATGGTGTCTGTGAACCCCTGCATAGTGGGGATATTTTTATGCATAACCATGGATTTCACTCCAGGGGAGAGGCTCCCATAGGAAAAGGGAACCGAGCTGACCACACTGACTGGGCTGTGGCCTCCATCCCCGTTCCCTTCCCCTCCTCCCGCCTGCTGGCCTGTGGGCACAGGAGGCTGAGAGTTCCAACACGGCTGCTCCCGAGGGGATTTCACCATTCTCCTTTGCCCTGACTAAATATTGTAAGCGAGGTCATCTGTCAGCATCAGGTGCAGTGACCAGAAGAAAGGTGTTTGTCTATGTCTCTGCCTTGCTCCTCAGCGCTCCTGCCCTCCATGATCAGGAGGAGGCAAGGCCACATCGTCGCCATCAGCAGTGTCCAGGGGAAAATCAGCATTCCTTTCCGATCTGCCTGTGAGTACTTCCTTCTCCCTTCCCCAAAGTGTTTTTCTTTATTGTTTTTTCCTGACTATAAAAATAACACATTTAAGCCCCGCATGGGGCTCACACCTGTAATCTCAGTGCTTTGGGAGGCTGAGGCAGGAAGATCACTTGAGCCCAGGAGTTTGAAGTTGCAGTGAGCTATGATGATGCCACTGCACTCTAGCCCGGGCAACAGAGTGAGACTCTGTCTTTTAAATTAAAAAAAAAAAATTAGCCAGGTGAGGTAGTGCACGCCCGTAGTCCCACCTCCCTGGGAGGCTGAGGCAGGAGGATCACTTAAGCCTGAGAGTTTGAGGTTACTGTGAGCTATGATCAGGCCATTGCACTCCAGCCTGGGCAATAGAGCAAGACTCTGTCAGTCCATCAATCAATCAATCAATCAAAAATAACACATTTGCTATCCAGAATTCAGACATTGTACAAATACACTATGGAGACTGTGAAGAAACTTCAAAATGTGTTCTCCAGAGCCAATGCCTGGGTTCAAATCCCAGCTCCACTCCTTACCCCCTGCGTGACTTTGGGCAAGTGTCCCCACCTCTCTGTGTCCCACCCTTGTCAGCAAATGGACAGTCCCAGTCTCAGCCCAAGGGGCTGCTGTGAGTGTGGTGCTTGGAGCGGCTCCCAGGCACTAAGCACTGAGCATGTGCCAGCCACTCTTACTGTTATTCGTTATTAGCATCATCCCACAGATACAACCATTCCTTCACTTGGGGGCATATGCCTCCAGTTTTTTTCTAAATATAATGAAACATACAAAAATAAGATCACATTATGCATACTGCTTTGTGGCTTGCTTATTCCACCTGAAAATATATCTTTCTGCATTAGCATACATGGATTTACCTCAGCCTTTTGAGTGGATATATAGTAAGCCATTCAATAAATGTGATATAAACTGCTAAATTCAATTCACACTCTCACCTCCATATATGAGAGACGCTATGCCACAATTTAAGTCATTACATTCATCTGTCTGCCATCATGTTATACCAGCAAGCACACAGAATCTAGGTGGTGTTTTGTTCTATTTTAAAAAGTTTTAAGGCCAGGTGTGGTCACTCAGACCTGTAATCTCAGCATTTTGGGAACCCAAGATAGGAGGATCCCTTGAGCTCAGGAATTCAAGACCAGCATAGGCAACATAGTGAGACCCCATATCTACCAAAAAAAAAAAAAAATTTAGCCAGGCATGGTGGGGTACACCTGTAGTCCCAGCTACTTGGGAGCCTGAGGTGGGAGGATCCCTGGAGCCCAGGAGTTTGAGGCTGCAGTGAATTATGATGACACCCCTGAACTCCAGCCTGGATAACAGAATGAGATCTCCATCTCAAAAAAAAAAAAGGTTTTAAAGGTAATTTCATAAACTGTTCTAGTAACTCCTTTCTTTGCTTTACCCTCTAAAAGGAAATACTGAGTGTAACAGTCTCATCCACTCTCACCCACCTCCAAAGGCTAGACTGAGTCACAGCCAGCCACAGCCTTGTCAGTGCGAGAAGGCAAAAGCTAACCAGTTCCAGCACTTTGAAAGGGCAGTAACAAACGTCCAGTTGGATGATATGGTGTAGCCAACTACCTGAATTGAAAGTTTAACAGAAACTTGCTCTTTCTCCCAAGATCTGAATCCCAGCCCCGCCTGTTGGTTCTAGTTGTATGTTCTTGGACGTGTTACTTAACTTTTCTCATCCTGTTTCCTTACTTATTAATGAAACTTAAAACCATTAAACCAGCTTCACAGGGCTGGTTTAACGATGAAATGAGACAACTAGAGATGTCCTTTGTAAGTTGTAAAGTCCTGTATCCATATTTGTTTCTATGGTTGTTATTTTTCTGTTTGTTAATATTTTATTTCACCTTTTGATAGGACAGCCATCTAAGGCTGATCAAATAATCTGGGGAAAAATATTATATGTAGAATCACAAATGATAAAGCAAATGAGTTAAAATGTTAATAATAGGGTAAAGGATACACAGAATTCTTTGTACTAAATTATTTCCAAATTTTACTTTGATTTAATCCCACTGATTTTTGTTCTCTGATTGGCCTGCTGACTTCAGTAAGGCATACATGCTCGGTCTGGGTCAGCTTCATAATGACCAGACTAAATGTGGCGGTGCCTTGTGGGCAAGTCAGCTAGCCCAGGTGAACAGGTCTTCTCATCTGTCAAATGGGGGAAGCATTTCTCCCCTCACACTGCTACTGTTAGGGCCAAGTCAGATGATCCGTGCAGTGTGTTTAGCACTGTGCCTTGAGTAAGTGGGGCCAACTGATGGCGACAACAGTGATGAGTTAGGTCAGCACAGCCTGGCTGAGAACCCAGCGAGCTCTGGGGAGACTGCTGTCAGGGTATAGCTTTCTACTCTGGGGACCCCCAGGATGACCCACTCTTCCCACTCCTTAGGCCTGGGCTATACCCCTGGAATCATGGCTGATAGAAGCAGTTCTCTTGACTCGCTCACCGCTCACTCATCCAGACCCCAGCAACTCTGCCCCAAACCAAAGGAGCAGGCCCAGCAAGGCACTGCAGCAAGCTCAGACACTGTGACTTGCTTGCAACATTTCCTTGCCCTTTTTCTGGGGTGACCGATGCCCCTTGTTTCCTAAAGCTAAAACATTTAGAACTCTGAATTGGAGGAAATTGATTTTCTATGGAGATGCTGATGTGTTTCCTAAGAACGTCACTGCAGGGTCACCGTGTTCCCCTTCAGAGCACCTTTCCCTGGGTTGTGATGCCCTTGCTGAAGAGCAGACATGGCAGAGCAAGCTCCATAGCTCTTCCAGATGGAAAGCTGCTGCCTGGAGGTTGGTCCAGTGAAATACGTAAGAAGCCAGGCATGGATTTCATTCACTCACACTCATGCAAGGATGCGTGCTGGTAGCATGCTTCGCAGTGGCAAAAACTGAAAACAACCCATGAAGATCCACTGATAGGGCCAGTTCTGTCACCTGGTGACCCCGGGGAGGCTGGGCAGCCAGAGCCACCTGGCAGGTCTGCAGGGCCAGCACGGAGGTGTCCCCTCTGCTACCAGGTGAAGAAAGCTACTCACAGGAATGATAGGAACAGTGTGAGCTCATTTCTGTAAAAAAAAAAAAAAAAAAATTACTTATGTGTAAAATCACATGTATGTATGTAGGATATAGAAAAAATAAATCCCAAGAAACTGTTAGCATTGATTATCTCTGGGAATGGAATTGAAGACAGGACTTTCACTTTTTACTTTATGTCCTTCTGTACTATTTAAATGTTTTACCCAGTAGGCATTAAGTCTTTTAACTTGGTCTTTTTAACTTGTAACTTGGAATAATTTCAGACTTAAAGAAAAGTTGCAGGAACAGCACAAACAACTCCCATGTACACTTGATGTAGATTCCCCAACAGTTAACATTTTACCTTATTTGCTTTATCATATTCTGCGTCTGTGTATTTATGTATATAGTTTGTAATTTATGTATTAACATATGTGCATGTATGGTCTGTAACATATATAAACTATATATGTATATCATTTATAATTTTTTCTGAACTATTTGAAAGGAAGCTGGAGACAGGATGCTCATTTACTCCTAACTACCTCGGTGTATTTCCTAAGCACCATGACAGTGCACATCTCAAAATCAGGAAGTGAATATTGCTAGAACACTGCAATCTTAAATTACAAAACCAGGTTTTATAAAACCAGCTAGTGAATGGGACTGGACGGGGGCGCAGGGCCCGCTCCAGCGCACTCACTCGCCTGCTTCTCCATCCACGTGTGCAGATGCGGCCTCCAAGCATGCAACCCAGGCGTTCTTTGACTGTTTGCGTGCAGAGATGGAACAGTATGAAATCGAGGTGACTGTCATCAGCCCCGGCCACATCCACACCAACCTCTCTCTGAATGCCATCACTGCTGATGGGTCCAGATATGGAGGTGAGGCCCAGTTTCTCTTTTCTTCTATGAAAATCTGTTGGTTGGCCAAAGTGAGACATACTGCTCTAACCTCTAACCAGTGATTCTGTGGTCATTTTAATTTGGATATAATTTTTTTTTTTTTTTGAGACAGAGTCTCACTCTGTTGCCCTGGCTAGAGTGAGTGCCGTGGCATCAGCCTAGCTCACAGCAACCTCAAACTCCTGGGCTCAAGTGATCCTACTGCCTCAGCCTCCCAAGTAGCTGGGACTACAGGCATGTGCCACCATGCCCAGCTAATTTTTTCTATATATTTCTAGTTGTCCAATTAATTTCTTTCTATTTTTAGTAGACACGGGGTCTCGCTCTTGCTCAGGCTGGTTTCGAACTCCTGAGCTCAAACAATCCGCCCACCTCGGCCTCCCAGAGAGCTAGGATTACAGGCGTGAGCCACCGCGCCCGGCCTTGGATATAATTTTTAAAACAAAAAACCTTGACACAAGTGTTAGTTATAGATACAGACTATTGAGTAATCTTCATTTACCCCACCATAAACCACTCTTAGCCTGAAAGTCACAGCATTCAGAACAGGACACCTGTGGGCGGGACTCTGAGGGGTAGAAAGGAAGTCCCCAAGCTGAAATGCTACCAGACTTCCAGGTAACCCACTCCCAGATCCCAAAGCCCAAGGAGTATTATCAGGATCAGGGTTAAGTGAATTAACCTCATGACAAGTATAGGGGCTTGACCTTAATGGTCTCCACACAGTAGGCTTGAGAAATGACTTGACTTCTTAGTTTTTAGATGAGGCTAGGTGTGGCAGGCTCAAAACCTCCATCTTGCTTCAGTCAGAGACAGCAGTGAGCTAATCTGTAGTCATCGCTCAGCTGAATGGCTGGGCCCAGCATTCAGGCCCAGGCCAAGCAGAGACCAGTCGAGCCAAGAGTGCCAGATTCCCAGGAGCTGGCTCTGTTTTCCCACACTGGAAACGGGGCCTGCCCACACCTCAAATACTGTCCTGTTGTGTCCTGTCCCCTTGAATGTGATCTCTTGGGGTCTGTGCTGCAGCATCTGCCAGGGGCCTTCTGGTCCTGCACCCACCGCAGCCAGGCCTAAACCAAGACTGCCCTGCCCATGTCCTGCTGGCAGCTGCTCTCTCATGCAGCAAGTCTTGTCCTCCCCACAACAGAAGCCATACAGAGGCATGGGGCCTCCTCCAGCTTCATACCTATTTATACCTATGAGACATTGTTTTAAAAATTCTCCCTGTAGCATTTAAAAATGAGTAACAATCAGCAACTTCCTATTCAGTGTTGTTAAAAACACAATGAGAACAGATACTAGCAAGGGAGCTCAGGCAGATTGGACAACTTAAAAATGGTTTCAAATGCTCTGAGCTAGTGGCCCCTCTTCTGTGCCTGCCAACTGGTCCTACTTTGGAAAATTATTTAGATTACTAGAGAAGAAGGGACGTCAGTTGCTGTTAACTTAACACCTCCTAATCTCTCTCAGCTGTCCCCTCTAACACCTAAAACAAACCAAGGATTTCTTCCCGTTCCTCATCCAGTTCCTACATGACACTGGGAGCTGGAACATCTGTCTGTCTGCTTCTGCCTCACTGACCTTGCAGTGCATTTGCAGGTCATACCGCCTTCACCGCCCTCCCGACTGGCAGCCCTGGAGCAAAGCTACCTGAGGCAAATTAGATGGTACATGTCCCTTAGTCATTGGCTAATTCCCAAGGTCAGGAAGCTCCTCTTGAGATGCAGCGTGAGTGGCTCACTCTTTGAGGACCCCCCTGGGCCTCTGCCCTTGTCAGAGACCACTGGGGAGAATGCCGCTTTGGTTCCTTGCACTGACTGGGGTTCCCAGCCTGCCTTTTCCCACATCCCCCCCACATCTCCCTCACTCCCACTCACCACAGCAAACTGCAAAACAGGTCCTCATTTCCCTGGAGTACACAGTTGCCGGGGACGGTGGCATACAACTTGCTTCCTGACAGGAGCAGGAGGTGCTCCGTGGTGGGAAGGGCAACACGTGACTGATGGCTCACATCAGCTCAAGTCCTCAAGAGAAAGGGACTTCTGTTTCCAAGTTCACGTGTTTCATTTGTTTTGTTTGTTTTAGTTATGGACAAGACCACAGCTCAGGGACGAAGCCCTGTGGAGGTGGCCCAGGATGTTCTTGCTGCCGTGGGGAAAAAGAAAAAGGATGTGATCCTGGCCGACCTACTGCCTTCCTTGGCCATCTACCTTCGAACTCTGGCTCCTGGGCTCTTCTTCAGCCTTATGGCCTCCAGGGCCAGGAAAGAGCGGAAAGCCAAGAACTCCTAGTGCTACGTCAGAGCCAAAGCTCCGACCAGCCAGAGCCGGGGTAGAGATTTGTCTCCCAAGTGGGAATGATTCAAGAAACACTCCTCGTGCAGGACCCTGGCTGGGCCCCTGCTGGCAGAGGAGGGGAAGCAAAAAGGCAGCAAGCTGCTTTCCAGGGCTGAGGGGTAACACTTAAGAAATAAATAGGGAGTCTGGGTTTTAACTCTAAAAATATGAAATAAATAACCTGAACAGTAAAGAGTCATATCCTTAAGGACTGGAACTATGCATCCTTTGAATTCCAGCCCCACCAACTCCTAGAAATTGTTTCAATCTTGGATCAGAAGATGTTGTATCATCTGACCCAGCTGTTCTCATATTTGACTTATCCAAGACCACTTACCTAATTCTTTCAGCAGAGAGACCAGCTCCAGAGACTACCTTCTTCAAGGACAAAGGCTGCAGTTTTAGGAAATCTGTAGTCATATCCATTCCCAGGGTCCTGTGATATCTTGCTCAACATAAAAAATGGGCTAGTGGTTGGTCTTAGTGCAGTGGTGTTTACAACTAATTGATCACAATCAGTTACAGATTCCTTTGTTCCTTCTCCACTCCCACTGGTTCACTTGACCAGCGTTTAAAAAAAAAAAATTTTAAATAAATAAATAAAAAATGAGCTGGAATGCAATGGGTTGTTTGGCATATCCCAAGTGATGCCGGCTTGAGCACCTGATAGGAATTCCCCAGTTTTCTTTGACTCTTGCCACAGCCCTGAAGGATGCCAGGCACCACTCTCCACAGAAGAGGAATTTACTAAAAAGCAGCCAAAAGGGAGAAGAGAGCCCTGCATGGCCCCATGTATTCGCTAGAAAATGAATCAATCAGGAGCTGGCCAGGTGGAAGCAATTCTATGGCACCTGGTCTCCCGGTGGAAGTAAGCTGTTCGTTAGCTACAACTAGTCGGATTATAGCCAGAAAGAATGCTGCTTCCACCTTTCTGATTTATTAAAAATATGTGATTGAGGCTGAGTAGGTCAGCTTCATTTGTAAAGTTTAGGAAGAAAATTTTCCTATTACTGAAACTAAAAGTTGAAATTATAGGTCCATTGTAGACTTCCCCAATTGGAATAAAATCTCCTAGCATATACTGACATATTGTACTATGTCCTAACTCTGGCCCTGTTCAGCTTGTATTTTAAACATCTACCCCCAACGGATGATAACATGGCACAGTCAGCCTATGGTTAGGGTGTCAGAGGCTTTCCAGTTTCCTGGGAGTAGGCCAGTGAGTGATTAGATCTGGTGACCTGCCCTGGCTCACAGTGCTAACTGGATGCTCCAGAAGCCTTTGGGTGAAATGTGGATACAGACATGGTGGCTGGTTCTTCATCTTCCATGTAAATCATCTATCTCCCTCCTGACATGGAAGAGAAGAGAAGGGTCTTCTTAGTCTTCACATTAGAGACAGGAGACCCAGGCAAGAGCTGGGACCAAGACAGCAGTGGCTGTACCTGTTCTAAAGCTCAGCCCAAGTCTAAAGTCAAATGAAAGTGCCAAGCGCACAGCAGGTTTCAGTAATGGCAGCTATAGACGACGCTCTCCCTCTGCATGGAAACAAGATCTCTTCTTGGACATTGTTGGCTGCTACTTTGAGAGGGCCTGTGTCCAGGTGCTGTCCTGTCCTGTCTGTTAACTAAAATGGTCAGCACCCGGAGGGGGTTGGTGTGTAGCCTGCCCTCGGAGGAAGGCAAGTTTAATAACAGCATGCTCCGTCCTCAGGAAACAGGAACACAAAGACATCGTTGAGGGTACTGGTTTTGGAGTTATTGTGACAAGCAAGTAGGAGCCACCAAGACCTGATTCACAGCTGTGGTGTGGGGCATGAAGCATGGAGTGGCACTAAAGGCTCGCTTAACCTGCATACCCGTTAGCTGTAACGAGTCGGATTGCAACCAGAAAGAACCCCTGCTTCCACCTTTCTGATTTATTAGAAATACATGGTTGAGGCTTACTGAGTAGGTCAACTTCATTTCTAAAGTTTATTTCCTCTCTGTTAAATGAAATGGTTAACAGCTGGAGACTGATATGATAGATAAACTAGCCATATCCCAATATCATTGGGTGTTTATGTACCTAACATTTAAAAAAAAAATCACTTTCTAAAACTTTAGAAACTTTATATTCCACCATATAAACAGAAAATAATATAATGCAAACCAAACAATCATTAAAATCTAGCTAGCTAAAGCTGTTTGCCAAAGGCAGAGTTCTTGAGGAGGTTGGCAAATCCTAGAGAGGTGTTCAACACACTAACCCACACACTCTACCTGGCCTCAGAACTGGGAACTAAAAGGGCCTGCAGCTGGTGTCCTGAAATCATCTTGGATATCCCGGGAGTCATCCCTTCCTGGAGAGAGCACTGGTTTGGCGAGCACTGGCTTATTGAGCCTTTAGAGCTGCCATAACTTGAGCAACAGATGAAGCACCTTCCCACACTGCCAGCCCAAAGAGCCTCCATCCCAAAGAGCTCAGGCCTTGAGCAACCTTTCATTTTGCTCTTGGATTTTTCAAACCACTGTTTGACTATGAAAAATTTGCCACCAGGGACGTAATGGTGTTGGTACTGTTCCAGTTTCTCTTTTCTTCCTCAAAGGAGGTGTTTTGTTGTTTTGACCCCTCTTTCATCCTTGAATTCTGCTAGGGAGGCCTGAAAAGCACCATCTTTAATTGGTTCTGCCTTCAGATATCTAATGAAGTTCAAAGACAGTTTTTTTTTTTTTTTTTTTTGAGACATTCTTGCTCTGTCAACCCTGGGTAGAGTGCAGTGGCATCGTCGTAACTCACAGCAACCTCAAACTTACGGGCTCAGGCGATCCTCCTGCCTCAGCCTCCGGAGTAGCTGGGACTACGGGTGCGCACCACCACACTCGGCTAATTTTTCTATTTTTAGTAGAGACAGGGTTCTCACTCTTGCTCAGGCTGGTCTCGAACTCCTGACCTTAAGTGAGGTCCTCCCACCTCAGCCTTCCAGAGTGTTAGGATTATAGGCATGAGCCACTGCACCTGGCCTAAAGACACTTTCCATTTTGCTCTTTAGGCCTCTTGGTGTTTCACTGGTCACAGAGCAGAAACAGGCTGTCCTGTGCCTCGTGCCAAAACCAGAGACTGGAAAATTAGACCGAGTAAGCTGTTCCAGGTAGCAGCACCTCCGTGCAGTGCGGAGGCGCTGTAGGAGTGAGTCAAGCAAACAGTGGACGCGCAGCCCCCTTGGGCACCTGCCCAGTGCACAGCAAATCTCCCTCCCCTCCCTCTGCAGGGGCTGACAGCTGAACCAGATGTGAAAACTTTGGATGGAGTAAGAGACTAATGAGGAGATGCAGTGGCAAGAGGCTTGCCGGTCTGCTCCTCTGCTTCCTCAATCAGCTGTCCTTCTACATAAAAGCTCTTCATTCTTCTCTGGTTGGAGGGGGGGGGTAGTTAACACTGGATGAATTCACTAGATTAATTACATGATCCGTTCCCTGAAATGGTCCACACAGGACTCATCTGTGTGGACTCTGCACAGGAGGGCCAAGGCGACTCGGCCTTTGCTTCCTCTCAATTGGCAGGTATTGAATGCTGTTTCTTCAAAAGCACCACGGCATGTCACAGATGAGCGTAGCCACTTGTCAGCAACTCTACCGTGACCACTCATCTAAGCGGGAGGGTGGCCGAACAGAGAGGCCAGTGTCGACAGCAGGGAGAGAGGTGCCCTCCTCCCGGCCACCTCACCTCAAGCAACCAAACCTTTGCCCTGTTGTCCACAAAGGTGCCTCATCCCCGTCTCCCTGGCTGGGGGCCATGTAACTAAGATGGCATTTCAGAATCTGGGTCAGTCCCAACAGGAATACTTTGTTCAGTGCAGCTTGGGGAACGGTGGGAGAGCCACCTGTTTGCACCTGGTTTCTATTTCGGGTGAGGGCTTCTGCTCAGCTGACTTGAGGTCACTATGGCTTGTCTGGCTTGTCCCTTTCAGCCACCTTCCCATGAAATCTGATTTGCAGGCAGAGCACTTCCAGGCCAGGCATGGGGCTCCCTTTCCAAATCTGGGCCTGTTTGTTACAAACACCTACCATCCCTGCACAGCAGCTGGGAAGCCAGCACTCAGACACCTGAGGGTCATGGGCACCTGCCTTTCAATTCATGCTGCACAGTGGAGATGAAGTATCTTCGGGCTCACTTTTGTGTGGCCAGTGCAGTTCCCTCCACCATTTTCAGATGGCCGAAGACTGCCATGTCAACAACCACGTGCACCTGACACCACCGTGCCACCCAGCGTTCAACGGAGTGATGAGTATCCACGGGGCCCTTGGAATTAATCAAAGTTTCTTAAACGTTTTGTGGGCTGTGGTCCCTTTTTAAATCTGGTAAAAGCTCTAGATCTCCCCTCCAAAAATGACCCAATCACCCCCCTTGAAGCCTCCCACGCAACCCAGGCTAAGCACCCCTTCATTCCTCTGTAGCACCAGATCCTTTACAACTAGACGAAACTCAGTGCAGTTGTCTTAAAGATTGGCCCTTCAGCAGGAGAGCTGTGGGGATCTCAGGGATGAAAGGGAACAGAGGCCTCAGGAAGGGAGCAGTTAAGGCAGGGCCCCGGCCTCCAAGGGGATAATGTTCCATCTATCCAGACCTTAGAGGGAATGTGGAAGTGACACGCCATGTGCCTTTTGGCGTGAGGGAGAAGCATAGCACTCAGCTCCTGTGGGACCGGGGGCGCTTCTGAGATGGCTCTGAGGACTCTTCCCTCAGCCTAGGGCAGTGGGCTCAACTCCGGGTCCACATCAGGAACAGCTTTGGTGCCTTAAAGAAAATGCAGATGTTAGTTTCTGTGTCTCCCTAAATCAGAATCTCTGGAGGAAGGGTCCTGGGTTCCAGAATTCCCCAAGTGGCCCCAAATGGAGACTCCATGACTGCTAGACCTTGCCACGTTATCCTCCCCTGTCCCTGAACAGTGCGTTAGCAGTGCTGGCCTTGGGAGCGACAAGGCCAGGGAGAGCCAGGAGACTGCTTCTGGGCAGGGTCTGGCCCAGGAACCACTTCGGATCCAGGCCTGTCCTCCCGGCAAGTGGCAACGCCGCCCTGCAGTGTGGACCAGGGCAGCTTTCACAGTGCCTGCTCATTCCACACGCAGCAGCAGCTGCAGCAGAGTCACGGAAAGAGAACAGTGGCAGCTGAAATTCTCATAATTTTAATGGTCAGTAGCCTCTGGTTGGCTCTGAATGGTACAGTTAAACAACGCTCTTAAGCCCGCCCCCCAGCGCACTCACACCCCTCGGCAGCGTCGGCTTCCACCAACCTTCCAGGGCCCAGTCAGACTTCCACAGCCTCAGACCCCCCTTCTTAGATTATGGAAATCCACATCTTAGTGTAATGAGTTGAAAAAACCCTTGGTACACCCGTGATCTGTGTTATTTTTTTTTAAAATAACAAATATAAACCAAACACCTTCCCAGGCTCCTCTGCCTCGCAGAGCACAAAATGTTACTGTGGCAATCTGAATACTATGTTGTCTCTTATAGGCTGGATGGCTCTGCTTCTCTCCCTGTCTACTGAAATCATACGGCGTAGAGTTCGTAAATCTTCTTTACACAGTACACCAGGGCGGCCAGTGCTATCGTGTTGTGCAGTCTCTTTCTGTGCAGGTCGTCCTTCCGGACCAGCACCACTGGGGTGGAGGAGGTGAGCGTGTGCAGGGGCAGGCGGGACAGTTTATAGGCATCGTACTCCACTTGGTACTTGCAGCAGGGGTCAAACTGCCAGGAGATTCCGTAGAGAGTGCAGCAGGCCAGGCTCAGCACACCAGCAGGCAGGGAGATGTAGTGGGAATAATCTAGGGGCAGCGCCAACGGGGTGAAGAGGCAGGCGGTGCCCGCCAACACAGCCGTCTTGTGCAGGCAGTTGCCCACGGTGATCCAGCGCGCCGTCTCGTCGCCGATGCGCGTGGGCTCGATCACAATGTACTTGTACTGGGCTTCTAAAGCCTGCTCCAGCTCGTACTCAAACTGGTCTTGGGCGTTCTCCCCATTGTAGATCTCGTGCACGATGTAGCAGTCTGTGGCCGACAAACTCACCCTTTTGATCGGGGTGGCGGGGAGAGAGACAAGACAGTTAGGCCGAGAACACTTAACTGTGGTTCTTTAAGCTGCTGGGGCAAGTCTGAGCCTCAGACTCAACAGAAAGCCTGCGTTCTGGAGGGCATGTCTCACTTATGTTTTTATCTCCTTTAAACCCCCACACACAAGATAATCAGTAAAGATTTTTCTTCTGAAAGAATAGTGAAATATTAAAACAGAAAAAGGAATGCCTCTTGTCTAGGAAGATGAAAATTATAATCTGTACCTGGCCTGGTGTTTAGCCTAATGCAATGGACCAACAGATCTGCGGGTCAGCAAAGGAGCCCGAAGGGGAAAGAACAACTTCAGCAGAGAATCACACAAGCAGGCACACAGTGGCAGCGCAAGGTCGACAGCCTGGGGCTGCTCTTGGCTAACAGGGCAAGTACAGGAGGAGGATTCTTCAGTGAAAATCGACAGACCCCTGGGACAGGTAATGCCAAACAGCCTGGCCTTTGCACAGCTCACAGACAGACATCCTGAGCCTGCAGAATAAAAGGCAGAAAGGGACAGCTTCATCTGACAGAAAACCACACTGCTCTGGCCCTCAGTGCTCTCCACAGGTGGCGGTGGCCCCCAGCTCCTCACCACGTGGAGACCTAGGACGCCAGCCCACTACATAGGAAAAGCGCCCTTCACTGAATAGTTAGAGACGTCTCAAGAACAGCAGTGGCTCTCAAATTCAGCAGGCAGGATGGTCACCTGAAGGGCTTCTTCAACATCCAGCCCAGACGGTGCCACCCATTCAGGCCCCGTAGGCCCAGGACTCTGATAACTAATCAATGCTGCCTCTCCCTCGTGTAAAAACCACTGTCCACAGAGACCCACACAAGGGGCTGATCCAGTCCCCAGCCTTCACCCTGGGACTGGGGATAGATGACCTGACCTCAGCCAGCAAGAGAGGAATCCAGAACCCTAAGGAAGGCTCAGCTCTGCTGTAAGGCCAGACAGCATCCCGGCCTCCGCTCTGGCAGTGGCCATGGGCTGGAGTGGTGTGAACCTGCCCATCGCTGTGACGGGCAGACCTAAATACAGGGTTGCACGGCCCTTGTCATATTTCCTTTGGCTCGCTTCAACCCGTCCAGATCTTTCTGAATCTCCACACTGTCACCCATGTGCTGTTTCTCCTGCTCATCTGACAAGATGCCTTCCTTATCCAAGCCTCTGGAGAGACACTGCGAGACAGAGCTCTGGAGGATGGATCACTTTTTAACCCATACTACTACTAGCCGGGCTGTGCAGAGCCATCTTCTGTCATGTGCCTCAGTGAAATGCAGCCCCCTCCCCTCAGCAACCCCCAGTCCCCAGGCTGGTCAGACCCCACCACAAAGGAGATGAGGCCCCAGGGACCTGGTGGTCACTGTACCAGGCCAGGGTCAACATGGCCCATCCACCTGCAGCTCCCGCCATCCCTGACAGGAACTGGCTCCTTCAGTGGCCAACGAGAAGCACAGCCCTGAGTGTACACAGACAGGAAGGCCCAGCCAGCCCGCCCACCTGCCCGTGGCACACACACTCCAAGTGGCCATGTGGAGGAACGCCACAGGGAGCTGGGATCGGAGCTACCCGGTCAGTGACCACAGCACAGTGGGGACTAGTCAAGATGTTGAAAACAAGGTCACCCTCAGAACCTCGGTTCAGCATCAGATAGCCCAGACCCCCTTCAAAGGTGGAAGCAATTCCACACGAAGGGCATGGAAATCCGATTGTCAGGGGCAGAGTCCGACACCACGGAGACCCTTTCCCATTGCTGCTCCCAGGCAGGTCTGGCACTTTCCAAGCTGCCTTTCAGCAAATATGCAAACCTAAGAGGCAGGCTTCATTCTAGGTGAAGAAGCAACTGAACTGCTCTCCTGTGGTCGCACTGCAAACGAAAGTCACTGGTAATGGGCTGACGTGTGCCCGCAAGTGCAGAGGGAGGGGCTCCACTCTCAGCACTGGCTTGGACTCAGGCAAAGAACTCGTTATCGTGGAAAAGTCACCGTAATTAGGCTGGGCTAAGGCAAAGCCGCCTAATTAAATCATAGCCCCTAATTAAACTGTGTGCACTGGGGAGAAATCTCTTCCCTAGGGGCCAGACGAGAAGCCTCCTAAACACAGGATGTTGCCCTAAGCAGCTTCTGCTGCTGTGCCAGCCACCAGGGGCCGCCTGCCCAGGACGACCTGGTGAGCTGTTTTTGTAAGCCTGCCCTGGGAGTTTGGGAAATGCGAGAGGGAGGGTTTTCCCTTTAGAGTCCTTTGTGGAGTTTCTCCATTTGGACTTAATTCAGAGGAGAGGCGAGAGGGAGGCCACGTCAGTTGGTACTCCCAACTCCCAAAATTTAGCATTCTAAAAGCCACCTTCAGCAAACAAGCAAACCTGAGGCAGAGATGAGGACTGAGGGCTGAGTGACACTCGCATGGTCATACTAGAAATGAAAGTCAGTGGTAAAGTGCTGGCCGTGACTCCAAGCACGTGGAGAGGGCAGGCAGGAGCGCTCCTAACCAGGAGACTTCCTTCCTGGTCAAGTCGGTCAGCCGAGAGAGGTGGAGAGGCCAGAGAAGAACGGGGACGAGAGAGGCCATATCATGGACCGATCTGTGCAAGCGAAAAGGAGTCACGCCCAAGTCCGTGTGTCGACTACCAACACGAGGTCAGGGGACACCTCGCGGCTGGGCGTCAGAAGCGAGCTTTCGTCCCTCTGGAACACTCAAAGGAAAACAAGGGTGTCAAGTTGGGGTTACAGAATGTTCTTGCCAAAACCCAAATCCACCCTAGTGTCATGCCCTTCTCTGTGCAGGCCAATAGCCATTCTGAATGTAGTGAGAAACACTGTTTGTCCTACTCAGGAAATGCCAGCTGAAACCCCTGGAACAGACTGCTCCATCTTGGAACGACATCAGTGGGCAGATGCCCACCCCCAACCCTAACTGCCCTCACCCCTAGCTGCCTCACCCTCTGCGAGCCCGGCTGGCACCCACGTCTACTGGGGCCCACCTTCCCTGGCCTCCGCAGGGGCGGGCTCCCTGTGGTTTGGGGGGCGGGCATGGCGGGCAGGACTATCTCCTATCATTTGTTAAGACAGATTAGTGGGTGTGTCCACGAGTCCCAACTTGCCTGGGAGAGGCCAGTGCCCTCTAGGCTCCCACCTCACTACTGCTGGCAAGTGTGCCTAGCGTCAGCCCCCACAGCACAGGGAGTGACAGTGAGTAGATACGTGGTATTCGACCCTCACTGGGGCCTGAGCATCCTCGGCCCTCGGCTGCAGGCAGTCTTGTGTGAGCGAGCGTGTGGAGACACACGTGTGCTCGCGGTGCTCTCCTCCCAGGAGACGTCTCGGATCAGCTCCCTCTTCCTGCCAAACTGGGGCCTCGGCTTCCTGAAGCCCAAGTGTCTATGTGGACAGGCCACTCCTCTCCTACCCGCTATGTAAACCAGCCATACTCAGTTGAAAACAAAGAGCACAGCCACACTGAAGGAACCTTCCAGCCATCTTCAAACAAAGGCAGTCTCTGAAGTCAGCCTGGCAGGCGATGCCCGGCACAACTGCCCTGAGACCAGAGACTCACCAATTCTGCTTTTAAAGCCAATTAAGGAAGAGGATTTTCAGTTTCCATTGGGAAAGGATAAAATCTTAAGTCTGGAGAAGTAAATTTCCAGGATCTCATAATAATGTACAAGGAAGGGGAGGGCAAGGTTCAAGCCGAAACACAGACACAAAGCCAGAGGATCCCTTTGTCAGAGTCCGCCCCGACCACAGACCAGCCTTAGAACCTGGGCGACCTGAACCCTGGTACACAGAAGCAGATTTTTTAAAAAGCAAAGTGGGGCTCACACTGGTAGTCCCAGCTACTTGGGAAGCTTAGGCTGGAGGGTAGCTTGAGCCCAGGAGTTTGAGGTTACAGTGAGCTGTGATCCCACCATTGCACTCCAGGCTGGGTGACAGAGCAAGACCCTGACTCTTAAAAAAACAAAACAAACAAATAAAAGAAATGTAAAAAGTAATAGCTAATTAGAATCTTTCAAGCTCTGGGCTTCCTAGGGGACTGTATTTTTGCTTTCATTGCAGGCGTGAAATGACCAATAAGAGAACGTAGTGAAGAGTCTATGTTTAAAAAAAAAAAAAAAAAAAAAAGCACTGACACAGGAAGAAAGTCTCCAAGAAACCAAGTTAAAGGGAAAAGCAGGTACAGAACAATGTTTACGGTACGCTATCTGTAGTATAGCTTTAAAAAAGCATCTACTGCTTTTATATGCACAGAGTGTTTCTGAAAGGACACACAAAGACCTGAGACGTATGACCGTCACTAGAGAGAGACCAGAGTGGCTCAGGAAAGAAAAAGGGAGGGAGGAAGCCCCTTTTTACTAACGACTTCTGATCCCTTTGAATTTGGCACGATCTCTGGCACGTGCTTCTGCAGTGCTGAGGTGGCTTTGCATTCTGAGCCGTCACTGCTGAGCTGGGTGTCAACCTGTTCACATACCTCAGAGGGGGACGCTGCAGACACTGCCCCGGGAGACCCCACTGTCCCACCTCAGGGTCACAGGCACTTGTGACTGGCATCGTGAGCCTGCCTCTGGCCTTCGGGCCCTCATCTCTCCACCTTGGAAGAGCACTGAATCAGCTCTGGGGGCAGTCGGCAAAGGTCTCCCTGGGACGCTGGCATTCCAGTAAAAGGTGGCACGATGAAAACTCGGCGGGACGGCCCTGTCTCCCCTCTGGGATTTAGGCACCCTGTGCCTGTCCCGGCAGCCTGTCCAAAACCCAGCCATGTGGTCTACCCTGTACCACTGCAAGGCTGGTCTTGAATGGATCTCAAATGTGGGGCTCCCCAAAGTCTGGAGGCACCTCCCCCAAAGTGAAGAACTGCACAAGAAGGTTCAGAGCAGCACTACTTGGTGAGAGCAAAGATGACTGACGAAAGCGGACGGAACGGGCTCGTGCCTCGACAAGAGACGATGAGTGAGTTCCAGCAGCCCGTGGGAGGGGACGCTGCACCCAGCCCCTCAGACACAGCACCAGGCTCTCGGAGGAGAATCAAGTGCCGGAAACTGTGAAACTGGGCCAGGGTGTGGTGACAGCTCAGGAGCAAGGGGGCCTCTGCCGAAGGGGCACGTGGACCGAGGTTAAGTCTCATCTCTACTTAGGCTGAGCAGGGAGCACACACGTCTATCACTTTAACTGTGGTCAAAACACACATAAAATTTACCATCTTAGCCATGTTTAAGTGCACACTTCTGCACATTAAGCACATCCACACTGTCATGCAACCGTCACCACGCTCCGTCTCTAAGACTCATCTTCCCAAACTGAAACTCTGTCCCTCCTCCTCCCACCAGTCCTGGAAACCTCCACTCTACCTCCTGGTCTATGAATCTGACTACTCTAGGGCCTGACATGGTGGGATCATGTATGACATTTTCCCTTCTGCGTCTGGCTTATTTCACTCAGTATAATGTCTCTGAGGTTCATCCATGTTATACCATGCATCAGAATTTTCTTCCTTTTTAAGGCTGAGTAGTATTCTGCTGTATGTATAAACCACATTTTGTCTATCCATTCATCCACACTAATGTTACTATGAGCATGTGTGTACAACTATCTGTTTGCATCCCTGCTTTTCAGTTCTTTTGGGTATAGACTCAGAAGTAGAATTGCTGGATCATATGGTAACTTTATTTTTAATTTTTTTGAGGAACCTCCAAATTGTTTTTCATAGCAGCTGTACCATTTTACATTTCCACCAACAGTACACAAGGGTTCCAATTTCTCTATATATCCTCATAAACACTTGTTATTTTCTGCTTTATGTTTTGTGTTTTTTTTAATAGTAGCCATCCTACAACTTTTTTTTTTTTTTTTTTTTTGAGACACAGTCTCACTCTCTTGCCTGGGCTAGAGTGCCGTGGCGTCAGCCTAGCTCACAGCAACCTCAAACTCCTGGGCTCAAGCAATCCTCCTGCCTCAGCCTCCCGAGTAGCTGGGACTACAGGCATGTACCACCATGCCTGGCTACTTTTTTCTATATATTTTTAGTTGTCTAGCTAATTTCTTTCTATTTTTCAGTACAGACAGGGTCTCACTCTTGCTCAAGCTGGTCTCGAACTCCCGAGCTCAAACAATTCACCCGCCTCGGCCTCCCAGAGTGCTAGGATTCCAGGCGTGAGCCACCACGTCCAGCCCATCCTACAAGTTTTAATTTTTATTTTTTTTGGGGGGGAAGACAGAGTCTTGCTGTGTCCCCTAGGCTAGAGGGCAGTGGCATTATCGTAGTTCACTACAACCTCAAACTCCTGGGCTCAAGTGATCCTCCTGCCTCAGCCTCCCAAGTAGTGTGGAACTCCAGGTACATGCTACCACACCCGGCTAATTTTTCTATTTTTTGTAGAGACAGGGGCTTGCTATGTTGCTCAGGCTGGTCTCCAACTACTGACCTCAAGCGATCCTCCCACCACAGCTTCCCAAAGCACTAGGATTACAAGCGTGAGCCACGCACGGCCTGATTTGTTTTTTTTTTTCTTAATAACAGCTTTGAGATAGAATTCACAGTCCATATAATTCACCCATTTATAGTGGACAATTCAGTGGCTCAGCACTTCCAGAATTATGCAAACAACACCACAAATGCTTTTAGAGCATTTTCACTATCTCCAAAAGAAACCCTGTACCCATTAGCAGTCATATTTTCTCCAACCTTTCCCAGTCCTTGGCAACCACCGATCTGCTTCCTGACTCTATAGATTTGCCAATTCTAGGCATTTCAGATAACATGTGGTCTTTGTAACTGGCTTCTTTCATTTAGCATTGTGTTTTTAAAGGTAATCACACTGTAGCATGTTTATTTATTTAGAAGCAGGGTCTCACTATGTTGCCTAGGCTGGAGTGCAGTGGCACAATCATAGCTCACTGCAGCCTCGAACTCCTGGGCTCAAGCGATCCTCTTGCTTCGAGGCCGAGTAGCTGGGACCGCAGGCGTGCACCACCACCCTGCCTGACACACTGTACTTTCACATGTTATAACTTTTGATGTGTTTAACATAGAATTTTTAAAAATCTAAGACAAGATATATGGGAGGAAAGATCAAAGGTACTATACATGAAAAAAGATTAACAGCGGTTTTCTTCAGATGGTGGTCTCACAGGTGACTTTTAAATTTTATTTTTCTTCAAGCGTTTCTGTATTTTTCAAAAAACAAAATAAACATATGCTTCTTTTATAATGGGAAGAATAATTATAAACTTTTTCTTAAAAAGAAAAATCCTGTTGAACCCTATATCCCTTCAGGTAAACTGACCAGACACCCTGAGGCCTCCCTTCACTGCCAAGGAGAGCAGGAGGTGGCTCATTTCCTGCTCCAGAACCTTCTTGGTGCCTATGGAGAAGCCAGAGGGCACCAGCCCACCCCTGCCAGCCTGGTCTGGGTGCAGGCAGCTTCTCGCGGCTGAGGCTGTCATGCTGCTTCACGCCCCGCAGTCCTGCCAGGGAAGAGGAGGAGGGCAATGCTGTTTCCTTGTTTCACTCAAGCAAGCACTGGCCAATGTGCCCTGCAAGCCACCGTCACCTTCTGGTCCTGCTAGACCCAGAAGAACCAACCTAACCACATCGGAAGCACTTGCTTTAGGCACCTTGCTGGCGTGGACCTGCACTCCCAGACACAAAGGACACAGGAGCCCCTGAAGGGAGAAGGCAGAGACTGTTTTCATGTTTTCCCCAGCACTGGGCCTGAATGTAACAGGTTCCCAAAAGACATGGGTAGAGGGATGTTTGTAATAAGGGACAGAAGGAGAAAAACAATTACAGCAATTAAGAGGACAGGTGTGGGAAAAACCAAACTGGGTCCGTATGTCAGGTTGCTTTTCACTTAATGGACACTGGCCACTTGATTACCTATGATATATAAGCTGCTAGGCTCAGCCTCACCCCCGGGTCTAGGAAAACTAAGAATTGTGTCCTCGGGAACCCAAAGAAAGCAGAAAGATTATGCAGGGAGAGCCTATGTACGCTACAGCTCTAAAGGCCAGCGAGGACAGAAGGGCACAGGCGTACAGCCCTGCACAGTGAGGACGGTTCACAGCAAGCCAAGGAACTTCCACAGGGCACCTGACACTTTCATCTGTTTCAGAGGAGACCACGTACAAGGGGACAATTTCCTATTCTACACTGGTAACTGGGCAGCTCTCCTGCTCTGGGAACAGCAACACAGTGCACCAAGTGTGGGAGTCAAGAGGCTGGGTTCCAGTTCCCTCTCAGTTATTCCTGGCTTTGTGTCCAAGGGCAGAACATCTGGCTACTCCAAGCCAGTTTCCCTCACGTCAAATGGGACCAAAGGCCCTTGCTCTGCCAGAGAACTGCAGTGAAGATGCGACGTGGGCCAGTGTGCAAACCAACGGTGGCAGTTGCAAAGCACCACCCCAGTGTAAGGCACGTGTGGCTGTTTAAATTGAGATTAATTAAATTTAGATAGAAGAAAAAGCTCGGTTCCTCAGACATGCTAGCCACACTGCAAGTGCTCGGCAGCCACACGTACCTAATGGCCGCCTAACGGACAGCAGGGAGCCAGAGCATTTCCGTCATGCCAGAAAGTCCTCCTGGACAGCCCTGATCTAAAGAACTGTTATGACTCCCAAATGGTTACTGGCTTTTCCCAAGAACTCTGTGCCCACAAAGTGGCTGCTGGCACTAGGGACAGAACACAGTAGCAGCGGGGAGGCTCCTGGGCGTGCGCGTTCTCGTGGAACGCTGGCCCCTCCACTGCCCCTCACTCACTAACAAGCACATCAGGGTGCCTCCTCACCTCCCTGGACACAATGTCAGCCCTCCCTCCACACCCACAGACTGGGGTGTAAATCCGGTATCTGCTCTTCTCGCCCCAACCTGGAGGAAAGAAAAGTCCCTCCACACACAAGAGCAAGAATGGGAGTCTTCTGGGAGAAATTAAACACCCCCAAACTCTAAGAGTCTAAAAGGGAAGGATCAGATCAGAAAGGGGGCCCGTCACCCCGGGAATATGAGCCAACCTGCCCACAGGCTGTGACCCCTCTGTCCAGCTGGATGAGTCTCCAGCAACCACCAGGGACCAGGGACATCTGAGTTCACGGATATGAGGAGAGGTCCTGGGGAATAAAGCATGTATGGGAAGACCTGGAAGTAATCCCATAGCACTGGCTGCCTAAAAAATGCTGGGGCAGACAGCTGCACAGGCCAGGGAAGGAAAGGCCACAAAAAATAACTTAATCCTAAAACCTGAACATTTAGTCCAGTGCGTCTGGCCCCTTGAATGCCCTGGGTTGCCTTGCATCATGACCAGAAACAGATCAAGCACATCTTCCCGAGATTATAAAACAGGAACTCAGAGCACACGGCTATACTCACATTCCAACAATCACGGAGAAGAGCTCAGGGAGGCCCAGGGGCCCTGAGAGAGTGAAGCCAAGCAGCCCAAGTAAGACAGGCGGGGCTGTCTGTCTGTGAGCTGGTCCGGCTGGCACACGGTGGCAGAATACACAGATACCTGCACTGTGCTTTCCTAGATGGGCAAGTGTGTCTCAAAGACGCCGACAGGACAAGTGGCAATCTGTTTGATGTGTTCGCTGCCAGTGTGCTGAATTTTGGACAAGAATTCAGGTTACAGCTCAGAGTCTGATGTTCTTCATTACAAACACTGTTGATTCCCTAGATTTAATGGAGTGGAGAGAAAAGTCAACACGCAAGCAGCTATCATTTCGCTATTTCCACCCCTCCTATTTTAGTCGAAACTGGCACTGTCCATAGCAACAGAACTTTCTACAATGATGGAAATGTTCTTGATCTGTGCTGTCCAATATGGTAACCACAAGCCAGAAGTGGCTGCCAAGTACTTGAAATGTGGCTGGTGAGACTGAAAAGCTGAATTTTTCATTTATTTAATTTTAATTACATTAAATTTAATTGCCACATGTGGCTAGTGGCTACTGAGTTGCTGTGTGAATTCAGCCCTAATTATAGAGCTGTGGTTCTAGACTCAAGAACAAAGTAAATCAAGAACCCACACACTGGTACTCTGTGGACCACCATTTACAGACAGCTGCAGGCAGTAACACCTGTGGATAATCTGGCACCAGATCTTTAAGAACAAAGCAAGCTTCAGAGGTGGCAGCCACTGGCAAATCTGGCAAGTTTGCCCAAAGTGTCGATGTGTTCCAGCCCCTGCCCCAAACCAAAAACAGTTTCCTTCAGTTTCAGCATAAAGCAGATGCTAACCAGGTGTGTGCAGCAACTCAGGAAAACGCTCTTATAATGGTGGAGTAGAGACTTGAGTCAGCACAAATGTGACATGGAACAAAGTCATTTAAGAGAGCCATAAACAGCCTACTTCAGTCATAAGAGCCAATAATACACTCAGACCTCATAATCTATGGTGCTGGGCCATCAGTTAATCCAGCCTGCTCCACCTGAACTGTCACCACCAACTGAGCAGCAATGGAGGGACGCCCAGGAGTCAGCTAGCTAGTCTGGGCCTGGCGGCGGGGTTATGTTTCCATCCTCGGCTCATCGTTGAAACACCTTCGGGAAGCTGGGCATGGGGAAACAACTCCTCCAATACATCCTGGCTAGGGCCTTACGGCAGAGGAGTAACCTCCAGCCACCACGTTATCTGGAAGGAGGGGAGATGGTGGCACCCCAACCACAAAACCAGATGCCCCACTCCTGGCTGACACACAGCATCTACAAGTGTGAGTAGAGCCTTCAGTTCCAGGCCAAAGGTTGCAATCTGAACACCTACAGAGATCAGGCAGGTAACTGCAGTGAGACAAGCTATCAGGTGAGGAACCATAAACTGGGCAGCACTGCCCTGACCAAAAAGAGTCAGCTACTACCCGGCTTTTCAGGGAGCGTTTTATGTAAAATCTCTTGGCAATTAATTTAAGTTGTCTTAAAAACTATTGAGGCTTAACAGTCAAGGACTGGATTCAGCCTATGGGCTGCTGGTTTGCAAACTCCATTTGGAATTAACACTTGTCTCAAGCCAAAGCAAAAATAATTGCCAATATCTATTTTCTTAGATCAAAAAAAGCTTAACCTACATTGGCAAGCCTCCTGTTCCAAGTCTGGGGCATCTCTATTTGGCTTTTTGGGGTTGTTTTAAATCCAACGAGAGGGGCGTATTTCCCTCTGTTACTGAGTTCTCTAAACAGGTTATTTCCTATTACTGAAGGATTAATGTTTGCATTAAAGATATTGAAAATGTTTGCCAGTTTTTAAGGGCATCTGGAAACAATTGAGATAACTTCTTTAAATGGTCCAATCTAAGAAATACCATGCGGGAGTTGGAAAAACAAAAATATGTTTGCCACTGCTTTTCCAAGGAAGAGAAAATGCAGAATGGACAATGTTGGTTAACTCTGAGCTCAAGAATGAAATGCAGGCTAACGGATTCTATCACAACTGCCAAATAGGAAGAATTTTCTGGGCTGGGAAAGCCATCTGCAGACAATAGCAATGAACATGGGACGGAATCAGTCAAAGAAACAGCATAACGCAGAATAGTTGTGAGAGAAACAGCACTTTCCTGTTTGACAATCTTCCCCAAAAAGAGGGAAAAAAACCCCTTCCTTTCTTGCTAACCTCTGCTATACCAATCAAGCCTTAGCAGAATGGATACGACAGTTTAATCCAGGTGGCTCCACCAATACACATCCTCTCCGAAACTTCTAGTGGCTGAACACCTTCTGGCGGCTACCACTCGCTGAAAGTGCTTTCCAAATGAAAAACTGCAAATTCAACCCGAAACATGGAAACTACTCTAAGCTCATCTTCCAGAAATCAGTTACCCAAATCGAGGTCTACCTTGGAAGAAACATGCTCCTAGCTCCCTGCCATACATCGTCCATTAGGAAAGGTCACTTTAAAGGACTTCCACGGCAGGAGCGCTTCCACAGACCCCTTCAAAAGTCGTAAGAACGCCCCTGAGAAAGTGGCAGGCTCTCGGCCGGAGACACATCTGGGAAGGGCTAACGCTCCCCTGGTAAACGTGCAGATCGCGCCGCCCTCCCGCAGCCGCCCGCTCTGTGAAGGCTGCCCCTTCGCTCTCTCCCGGGAGCCCTTCCCTCCCCGCCACGTCGGGGGCTGCGGCCGAGATGGCCACGCGCGTGGCCGGCGGGGCGGGAGCTGCAGAGGCCACCCGGCCCGGGGACAGCGAGGCGGGTCCCTGGGGCCTGCGCGGGGCACCCGGTCCCCTCTGCGCGGCCGAGCCTCAGCCCCCGCTCCGCACGGCCGCGGCCCGCCTCGCCAGCCCCGCCGCCGCTCCGTCCCCTAATCGCGGCGCTCGGCGGAGGCCTCCGGCCCCTTCCCACCGGATCGGGGATCCTTCCGGACTGGCACCCTTTGCGCCCGGCGCGGGCCAAGGGAGCCCGGGGGGCCCAGGCGGGAGGGCGCTGTGGCCCCGGGAGGTCCGCTGGGCTCCCCCGCTCCCGAGCCACCCGCCCGCGGAGCAGCGCGTCCCTGGACCTCACCTCTCGCGGGCGCCGCCGCCACTGCTGCCCGGGCCCAGACGCCTCCTTCCCCAAGCGGCCATCTTGGAGACACTCCGCTCGCCCCAGCCTCGCGCCCAGGCGGCCTCGGGAGGGCGGGCGCGCCGAAGGGAAATGTAGTCCACGCCGCAGCTCCGCGCGGTGGGGCGGGCGCGAGCGGGGCCCGGCGGAACTACGGCGCCCACAGTGCAGCGCGCTGCGGCCGGCCGGGTACCCCGCGCGGGAGGCCAGTGCCGTCCCGGGGCAGGGCACCTTTGCAGAAACTGGAGTCCCCGAGGTTCGCGGCCCGGGAGTGTCGGGCGCCCACCGCCGGTACGCCCTTGGGTTCCGGGAGCGAGTGGCTGAAGGAGAGCGGAGAGGGAAGCGCCTACAACTCCCAGAGCGCCGCGGGGGCGACGGCCCTGCCCCGCCGCCCCGGCCCGCCAGGCCGCGTCCCGCGCCGAGGTCCGCCGCGCTGTCTGCGGGCCTCTCGTGCCCGCCGCGGCCCTTCTCCGCCGCCTCGGCCCGCTAAGGTCATCAGGAGGCGGGCAGCGCCGCCTGGGCCCTCGTCGGAGACAGCCGCTGCTCCCGCTCCATCCTCCCAAATTCTGTGGACTCCGGGGACACTTTGGAGGCCGAGACACACGCGATCCCTACTGTCACAGAGGTCCCCGCTTGCAGGTGCTCGGAGGAGGGAGTCTGAAAGCAAAGAGAAATAGCTACAGTATATGGTAATTGCTGTGGAGGACATAGGGCTCTGCGGTAGAGAAAAGCCTGTTTTAGACAGGGCCACTGCATTCATTCCCTGCCACACATCACACTCCTGACCTGGCTGCGGCGACGAGGACATAATGTCATACGTCAGATCTTTGAAGGAAAATGCAGGGCGAATCATCCCACCTGATGAGAATCCTGCCCAGGACCTGGCATTCCCCTGTCTGGACACCGCTGTGGAGAGTCAAGGTTAACCAGAACCCAGAGACTCAGATGCTGCTGCCTCAGACCTTATGGGCTATTTGGGAGGATCTCTTACAGTTTGTGAACTTCTGAGTCCCTCTCCTGCTCCCTCAGACAACGTTGCTATACGTATTAGTTGGTCTCGTAAATATTTGACAAAACCAACATGGAATCTCCAAATTCAGAGCCGGGATCTAGAGGCCCAGCCTCTGTGCTTCACATAGGTTTGTTGCAACCCACAGGCCGCAGGAGGACGGCTGGCAAGTGGAGAGGTGGCTCTGTCATCTGGAGGATTCCTCCGGGTTTCCTTACAGCTCATGTTCTACTAGTTTTCGGTGCTTGAAATCCTCTCACAATCCCTCATCACCTGCCTATGTAACTCAGGCTCCTTAGCACAATGTAGCAGCCCTTTAGTTTGGAAATCGTCTACCTCTCCATCTTCAGCTGCCTCCCTTCCTGCCTCGAACTTGCTAGGCTAGTGCATTCAGAGGACTTGTGGGCCCACAAATGTTCCATGCCTTGCCTAAAATGCTTTTCCTCCCCACCACCTTTTATGCTTCAAGACCCTGGACCTGTGTGGTCTATTCTATATTTTAAGTGATCTAATTCTTGATCTTCACAACAACCCTGTAAGAGTGATAATGTTATTATCAATATTCTCAGGCCAGGTGGAATTGCTAATGCCCACAATACCAATACTTTGGGAGGCTGAGGCAGGAGAATCACTTGAGGCCAGGAGTTTGAGACCAGCCTGGGCAACACAGTGAGGCTCTGTTTCTACAAAAAATAGAAAAAATTAGCTGGGGCCAGGTGCAGTGGCTCAGGCCGGGCGCGGTGGCTCACGCCTGTAATCCTAGCACTCCGGGAGGCTGAGGCAGGCGGATTGTTTGAGCTCAGGAGCTCGAGACCAGCCTGAGCAAGAGCGAGACCCCGTATCAACTAAAAATAGAAAGAAATTAATCAGACAGCTAAAAATATATAGAAAAAATTAGCCGGGCATGGTGGCTCATGCCTGTAGTCCCAGCTACTCGGGAGGCTGAGGCAAGAGGATCACTTGAGCGTAGGAGTTTGAGGTTGCTGTGAGCTATGGCATGACTGCACTCTAGCCCAGGCAACAGAGTGAGACCCTGTCTCTAAAAACAAAACAAAACAAACAAATAAAAAACCTGTATTTTGTAAACAAGCAAACCAAGTTACAGAAGACCCAAGTGATTTGCCAAGGTCACACTGCCTGCCAGGAGTGGCACTAGGATTTGAACTCAGGCTGTCCAGTTGCAGAGATTACACTACGCCATTGTGCCTCTCAGGAAGAGCTCCAGAAGCAGGTTTCAAGTCAGTGTCTAGTGCACAGAGTAAATGTAAATGCTCAAACAACTGTGGGCCTAGGATGATCTTCGTGTCTCTCCAGCTCTTTCTCCTTAACTTCTTCTTTATTTCTATATTTTTTAGAGACAGGGTCTTGTTCTGTCACCCAGGCTAGAGTGTAGTGGGCTGATCATAGCTCACTGCAGCCTTGAACCCCTGGGCTCAAGTGATCCCCCTGCCTTGGCCTCCCTAGTAGCTGGGACTACAGGTGCATGCCACCATCTCGGCTAATTGGGTTTTTTTTTTTAAATTTTTTGTAGAGACGGGGTCTTGGTGTATTGCCCAGGCTGGACTTGAACTGGCCTTAAGCGATCCTCCTGCCTTTGCCTCCCAAAGTGCTGGGGTAAGGGCATGAGCCACTGCACCCAGAACTCCCCTTAACTTTCAAATGGTTGTCTGCTTTTAATCTTCTGACTTGAGCTGAGATCCCCAAAATGTTGTTTCTTGATCACTGTTAGTACACAGACATTGTGTGGAAGGTTCATAGGCAGGTTGATTCATTCAACACGTATTAACTGTGAGCCTGCTGAGGGCAAAACCTGAATGGTGGAAATTGGAATTCCTGGGGGCTCTCATACAGTGAAGATTCCTGATGAGCCCCTTGAACTGCTGGCAGCGAGGCAGCCAGTGGGAAGGGCATGCTCTAGTTAGTGCTCAAAAACAATCTGCCACTTTTCATTCATTCATTCTTATAACAATTATTGGAGGTCTGCTCTGTGCCAAGGGCTCTTTTAGGCACAGAGATACAGTATTTAGTAAGACAAACACTGTTCCTGGTCTCATGGGCTTTACGTTCCAGTGGGATAAACAACAAAGTAAATAAATATTTCCAAGAAGTGTTAAGTACCAAGAAAAAAGAAACGGAATGATATAATGGAGTGACTTGGAGATCAGGTGGCAAGAAGAGGTCTCTTTGAGAAGGTAACATTGGAATGGGACCTGAATGAATGGAACAGTGTGCAGCTGAAGGGCCTGAGACAGAATGTTCCCTGTAGAGAGAATAAATGCAACAGCTCTGGAGTGTGAATGGGTGTGGTGTGTTCCAGTAACAGCACCAGGGTGGCTGGAGCAGTGAGGCAGGAGTGGTACTTAGTTTGCCTTTGGTTAAGCTGCTTTTTCTCTTTGAATTTCAGTTTTCTCAACTGTAAAATAGGAGTAATTTGCTCTATATCAATCAGTGTCTAGGGAAAAAACCACCCTAGATACTTCAAACAGAAGGAATTAATACAGGGTATTGTTTACAGAGGCGTTGGAAGGGCAAGAAGAACAAGGGGGCAACACTGGCACCCAAAGACGAGTAACTGGAGGTAGCTGCTATGACCCCTGAGGCTGGAGGAGCAAAAGGAAAAATAGTGTTTCCAGAAACTGTAATTCCACTGAGCCAGTGAGCAGGAGCCTGGAGCTGCACTGGCTGAGGAGGTGCCACTGACAAGCAGCTGCTGCCACCTCTATGGCCTGAGGTGCCACCAGAAGCAAAAGAAGGAAATTGTCCCTTCCTCCCATCTTCCAAACTCCCGCCACTGCCTCCCAATGGCAGAGTCAGCTGGCAAGGGAGTCTGGGAAGTGTAGTTTCCAAGCCTCCGGCCCTGCCATAGCACAGGAAGGTAAGCGTGGGGATGACGGCGGCAGGTGCCATTGATACCTCGCCGATCTTGCAGGGCTGCTTTGAGGAGGAGAAATGAATATGTGCTCAAGAAATGATGCCTATGCTTATGCTTCAGAGCACGTAGTAGCCATTCTGGGAAAAACATGTCTTCCAAAAATATATCTTTAGTATAATAATTTCTGCATAAGGGTTTGAATTTAGGATTAAAAGCATCAGAATGAGCATTTTTAAAATAGAATTTTAATTCTGAATAATATGTTCACATGATACAAAATTCAAATTACAAAACAACATAACAGTGAAATGTTTTACTTGCTGCGTCTTCCGTGACTGGGTTCCTTCCATCTGTGCCAGCACCCTCTGCAGGCTCTCACTAGTGCCTTTTTTATGTCCTCTGCAGATAGCTCCTAAATGGACAAGTGTGTACACATATTAAAAACGATATTTTTCTATTACACAAAGGGTGCATACCATACACACTGCTCTGTGTCTTGTTTTTTTCACTTAACTGTATCTGGGAGATCGCGCTACGTCAGTGCACATCTGCTCTGTGGTAGCATACACGGGACTCCATTGTTTAGCTGTGCCATAACTTTGTCAGGCGGTCTCTGATAGTCTTTTACTATTTGGAAGAGTGTTGCAATAGACATGCTTATGCTACTTCCTGGTGCCCTTGTGCAGCTATAACTGTGGGATAATTTCCTGAAGAGAACTTGCTAGGTCAAAGGGTGTGGGCACTGGTCTATTTGATAAATATTGCCAAACTGCTGTCCACTCCTGCCAGCAATAGGTGACACACAGCTGTGCCAGCACCGTCTGTTAGCAAATGTTTTCTCTTTGCCAATCTGATAAATAAAAAATGGTATCTTGCTAAATGCAATAAGCTAGCCTGGATTGGATCCTGGGACAGATAAAGGACATTTGTTGAAAAATAGGTGAAATCTGAATGAAGTCTGAGATTTAGTTCATGTGCCAACGTTGGTTTCTTAGTTTTGACATATGTGCCATGGCTATGTGAGATGTTTCAGGGGAAACAGAAGGAGGATACACAGAAATGTACTATTTTTGCAATGTTTCTGTACATCTAAAATTATCCCCTCAAAAATTTCTTTAATGGCATCTTTGTTGTATGTCAAATTTTCATTTCTCTTATTATGA